CGGACGGCATTCTAGGTCGGACGGATCGAGCGCCGTCTGGCTCGGGCGACGGATGATCCCCGACTGACATTCCAGGCCATGAGTGCGCATCCGTCTGCTCCAGGGCGCTCCCCCCTTCGCCTCTCTGTCTGTCTCGATTTCTTGGCATTCTTCACCGCTGTTTTTCTTACTTTCTTTCTTTTTTTATCATCATCTCGCTCAGCCCCGCATACGAACACGTACCTGTGGACACACAGACAGACAGGCACGTACACTTACACACACAAGCACACACACGCGCGCATGCACGCACGCACGCACATACATACACTCACACAAACACACACACACACATACACACACTCACACACATACACACACTCACGTATGCACATACACACACACATACACGCACTCACACACACACCACACACACACAACACAAACACACACCACACACACACACCACACACACACACACACACACCACACACACACACACACACACACACATACCCACACATTCACGTACGCACATACACACGCACACAAACACTCGCTTCCTCATTCTCATCCCTGGATTATATATTTTACCCATTCATTCATATCCTCCCGTACAGCTATCGTAATCATATATATATATATATATATATATATATAATATATATATATATATATATATATATATATATATATAATACATATATATACATAATATATATATATATATAAATATATATATATATAATATGTATATATACATCAAACATATATATATATAATATATATATATATATTATATATATATAATATATATAATATATATATGTATGTGTATATATATATATATATATATATATATATATATATATATATATATATATATATATATATATATTTGTGTGTTGTGTGTGTGTATCCCTAATATCCCTTAACTTTTCATTGTCTAAATATACCCATCCTTACCTTCTTTTACATTCGTAGCACTATATTACAACAAACAAATGTTTATCATCTTATCCTTATTTGTGTGCCTATTGGGAGCAAAGGAGAGGGAATTTCATCACAAATTTCTCCGCGTTAAGGCTACCAATGTCGAGAATATGATTTCGTTGAATTGTTATTAATGTGTGGCTTGGTGTGTTTACTGCGTGGTGTGTGGTTGTGTGTGTGGTGTGTGTGTGTGTGTGTGTGTGTTGTGTTTGTGTGTGTGTGTGTTAAATTACGATCTTAATTAAAAAAAAATAATAATAATCACAGTTTCTCTTATTTCTGCAAGCCATCCATTTAAGCTAGAAGCAATATATACTTTCCCCTACAAGCAATTATTACCAATTTCTGCAAACGACCAGCCTCTGCGGTTGTGAACTGGGTGACCTCGTCTCGCATATTAATAACACAAGAAGTCTTCACGTACGCATACGGACACGTGAGAACTACAAATCATGGACGTGTGAAGAGCACAAGGCATGCGAACACACGAATTACACAATGTGTGGATATGCATAAATATTTGGGTACAGGCTGGCCCAGAAGTAAGCACATAAGAAAAGTTTACCCTCGTAGTACCTCCCTGCTTCCGTCTCTTCCTTCTTTCCCTCCCGTCTCCCTCTCCTTTTTTACTCTTCCCTCCCTCCCCCTTCTCTCATTTTCTTTCCCTTCCCTTTCTTCCTTTCTGTCCCCCGTTTCTCCTCTTCTCTTCCTCATCCCTCAATCCTACTTCCTGTCCCTCCCTCCTCCTTGACTCCTTCCCTCTCTCCATTCCTTTCCCTCATTCCCCTTCCTCTTTTTTTTCTCCTTTTTCTCATCCCGCTCCCCGTCCCTCTTTCTCTCTTTCCCTCTTTTCTTCCTTATTTTTCCCTCTCTCTCCATCTCTTCTTCTTCATTCTTCCCCCCCGCTTTCCCTTTCCCCTTTCTCGTTCTTCCCTCCTTTCCCTCTTCCCCCTTTCCTCTCTCTCTCCTTCCTTTTCTCCTTCTCTCCCATAACCATTTTACTGTATTTCCTACGCCTCGCCCCCCCCCCCCTTCCTTCTTCTGCAGCTCTCTCCCCATTCATATACTTCCTTCACAAAATATATACAAAATAAATAATAAATATATAAGTTATTCTTGCATTTGGTTTGAACTATCACTGCAATAACTCTAAACATGCGGAACTGTATAGGAAACAAGCGAACAATAGCTCGTTTAAGTCGTTGCAATTTACGAACGAAAAATCTTTCCCAGTTTTGAAATTTCATTGCAGAGGAGAGTGACGGTCAACTTTCGATTCTAAAGCGGTGAGGTCTTTGAAAAAAAAAATGTAGAACGCTTAGGTTAGAGAAATCTTTATGAATTTTGCAACTTCGAGTCAATAATCGTAGGTAAGACACCACAGGTTCCTGGCCGGGTTAATTATAGGCGAACCAGAAACCGGAATATGTAGAAAGCTAACATAATTCAACATTATTCCTTGAAAGAAAATCGAAGCACAAAAGGAAAATGCATAAGACAGCTTAAGAAACTCTATATGATGATAAGCCACGTAATATTGAAATGATCATGCATAACAGCCTACACCAAGAAAACATGACTGAACGGATAAACACGTTCCTTAACCTTCAATTTCTTTAGTTACACCTAAAATCGACTCCTCCGGCCAGTTGATAGAAAACGGACCGCTCTCCACCCGCGAAACCAGTGAATGACAAGCACAAGATGATCCAAAGAGTTTTTTTTTCTGTCTTCTTCCTTTTCAGCGCCTCTTTTTATTTGCCATTGCCTTATTGAGCAACGTAATACTTGAAACAGGTGTGTTTGCAAATCCCTTTCTCTTTTTGCGTTTTTTTATGCAGCAAGATGACACAGACTGTGAGAATACAGAGGGAAATTGACGCGTCAGTCGACCTTCGGCAAAAAGCCTCGTCATGAATCCGCTGTTTGTCATTCTTCAAAAGCTTTCGACAAAATCTCCACTCGAAATGCTGTTGGAGATGTTTTTCGGTGAGAATAAGCTGTATTTATGGCTCGACTCGCATTCTCGGTGGAAATAATCTGTTTTTGTCGTGGTGATCCCTTCCTTGAAGCCATAAGCTGATCCGTTTCGCTTAAACAGATTTATAAAATCGGAGAGATTGGAAGTGGCTTTAGTCGCTTTTTCAGCTTGGGTTTTCGTTTTTGCGATTTAATTCGTTCTGTCTGGGGATTTCTTCAATTTTCGAGGTTTGTGTTTTCATAAGCTATTTTTCTTTCTTTTTTAATATAGAATCTTATCGCACCATCATTTAACTTGATAACGATTATGAGAATTGAAAGGCATAAGTTAAGTGTAAAGCATCTGGTATTAAAGGAACGTAACACATCAATCCTTTTACTTTTCGTACAAGAGTGTCATTATCAAAATTCAATGGGGTCAAATAACCTATTTTTCGTCACTTTTTGAACAGACAGGAAGCTATAGATTCAACAGTCCAGCCGCAGAATCCCAACATTTTAACAACAGAAATTGAATTCCTGAAACGCAGTGGCAAATGACAAAGCAAAGTGGAGGAGTATTTCCACAGGTCCAGAAATATTGCTCAAACGTCACCGTTACGTCACACCCAAACCGAGTTGGAATGCGAAACACCTTTATTTATAACATTTACGATCGATGAATATTTTAAATCCCCGTTCACTTCCGTCCAAAATTTGCACCTTCATCGTGAGTGCCAGTCAAGAAGTGGCGTTTCGTGTTTCTGAATGTTATATACTTACGGATTTGCATTTTGGTCGAATTCACGGGAATTTCAGGTTACACGAGATGGAAAAAAAGAAGAAAATATACATATCATTAGGAGAGGTGTAGCATACATGTTTGAAAGGCCGAGAAAAATAATAAACCTGCAGAAAGAATTCCGTGCTGAAAAATAAACATATTTTTATATAAAACCTCCAAGCAAACTATCGTTCTCAAAAACACAAACAAACATACACAATCAAATGTTCATACCGAAACAAACACAAATAAAAGACAAACAAACAAACCTACCAAACACACACACACACACACACACACACACACTCACGTACGCACGCCACAACACACACACACACACACACACACACAACACACACACACACACACACACACACACACACACACACACACACACACACACACAAATAATTAAATAAAAAATATATATATAAAAAAATAAAAAATAAAAATAAAACTCCACACACCTCGCCACCACCAAAGCCCCACCGAGGAGACATTGCACTGCAACTTACCTGCGCCAAGGTGAGTTGCGAGAAATAAGCCGTTGCAATATCAGACGTTCTTGTGTCGCTCGTCTTGTGGATCCATTCAACGTGCAGACGATCCTCCAAGCCCAGCTGATTGATGATAAACTGTGTGTCCTTGAAGTTAAGACATAAGAAATTATGGTAGAATCATTGGTCTTGTACTGGATAAACAAAAGAGAAATTATGGTACTACTGTTCTTGTATTCGAATAAAAAAAAAATTGTGGTAGTATTATTGCTGTTGCCATTTGATCAAACATGCAGAAATAATAGCTTTATTGTTGTAATGGATAAATAAGGCAAGACATTATGGTAGTATTATTACTGTTGTATTAGATAAACAACGGCGACACTGTGATAGTACTATAGTTGTTGTACTAGATTAAAAGACATGACATCGTGGTCTTTATATTATATAATGTAGTTTGTGATAGCATTAATGTTATATTGGAAAGATTCTGATAATATTATTGTTATACTGAAAATTATGGTAACATTGGTGTTGTACTGGAAGAGAGAAGATAAGGAATTATTTAAGTAATTTTGGTTCTATATTGGGATTTTCAGCGTAAGGTTCGAGTAATGGGTAAATTGTCGGTGGACAAGAAAGGATGAAAATGCTATAACTGTAAATGGTTTTAGGTAATTCAGGAATGAAATAATCTGCGGGAATAACATTCCATTTGTGTGTGTGTGTATGTGTGTGTGTGTGTGTGAGTGAGTGAGTGAGTGTGTGTGTGTGTGTGTGTGTGTGTG